AATATTGTAATATCTCAAATATATATATATATATATATATATATATATATATATAACTTGGTGGATTATATTTACAATATCTTCTTATATCGTTCAAAAAAATGTAATGACATATTTATTGGTAAATGTTTCAAACGACGTAATAACAATCACAATGCGATTAATATTGATACAATGTTGTATTAGTAATAAAACTTTAACCTACAACGTGCTCGCAAAAGAGAGAGAATATTCCTTCTTTTTCTCTCACAATATTTTGATAAAGTAAGATTAAGACTAAACTCTTTTTATAAGAATTCTAGTTTTACAATATCGTGTTCCTTGCATATATTAAAATATCACATTTTATGTACGAGAAACACCTAAAATATAATCTTACATTTGGGTATAGAAATATTGCACAACTGAAATATAATGCAAACATTAGACTTACGTTATTTAGAGAACATTACAAATTTAAATTGATTATATTATATTTCGCGTCTTTATATTATATTATATTAGGTACAATTCACAGTTCAATAATATTTCAGTTTAATTTTAGTTACAAATGTAGCGAAGGAATCAATACAGTACAGTAATATTCAATAATAATTTAATTCAATTTCCCCTACTCTTAATATTTCACTAATTGTACAGAATGAAATTTTTTGAAAAATCAGTAAATTGTATTTTTCAATGCAATTCATTTATTCAGTACAACTCAATATACAGGGTGTCCCAAAACAATCTACGTAGCTCTCATGAGAACGTAGAGCGGGTCGAGGTAAACATAAAGGTCTATATCAGATATTCGTAATAATAACCGAGAAATTAATTGCGAAAGATTAAGGAAAAGCGTATGTTAAGTGATAGAGGACGGAACGCTCGAGTCAACGCAGCCCAGTAATATAACGTGCGGATGTCGCCACGTGGCGATTAAATGTACAATGCACTACTGCCTACGCTCATATCGTTACGATCCTACGTCTTGCCGTGCCTATTGTTACACCGCGCCGAGGCGAGATGTAGGAGCGCAGCGATAATGTAAGTAGGCAGTAGCGCGTTGTTCTTCTAATTGCTATTCGTTGACATGCGCGCGCTATATTACTGGGTTTGCGTTGCAGCTCGAGCGCTCCTGCTCCGACAATTTAGCGCACGTTTTCCCTTAATCTTTCGCAATTAAGTTCTCTTATTATTATGAATATCGCAAAACGATATAGGACTTTTATATTCATCTCGACCCGCTCTACGTTCTCACGAGAGTAGATGGGACCCGATTGACCACGATACGATTGGACACAGATTATAATGATTGGTTCGACCTGATAATTCACTAGATAATTCTTTTCATCGGTTGGTTGTGTCCAATCGTACCGTGGTCAATCGGGACGCTCCCCATGAGAGCTTCGTAGATTGTTCTGGGACACTCTATATATTAACGTATATCAACGTATATCATCAAAAATATAGGTTTGTTCGAGTTGCTTGTACTATTCACACTTTTACACTTAATGCCCGTTGCATACTAGTGCACTTCAAACAACATAAATTTTCCAAAATACGTTCTGAAGATGCTTTCTGGACGGAGGGACGTCATCAGAATATTTTTAGGGTGACCTTTGAAAGTGTGAGCTATCTGAAAATTGCTAATATCCAATAAGTTTATTCGCATTAATTGAACTTTTTACACTTTCACACTTAGGCCGGTATTCATAGTCAAATCTTATTTCAAGACCGTCTTAAGTAATGTCTTAAGATGCGAATACGGCTGTATAGCCGATATTTATAGTCGAATCTTATTTCAAGATCGTCTTAAGTAATATTTTAAGATGCGAGTACGGCTCTGTGATTGGTTTATGATATCTTAAGATAGTACTTAAGATGATCTTAAATATAAAATCTGATTATGAATATCGGCCTATGATTGGTTTATGATATCTTAAAACAGTACTTAAGATCTTAAATATAAGTAAGATCGGATAAATATAAGTAATACCGGTCTTAGTGCACATTAATTCTTTAGAGGTTTTAAAAATGACGTCATGATTTCCGTTCGTGTTACGAGTGTAAATGCAATTCTGATGCACTTTTTACACTTAGTCCCGAATAAGAGTGAAAAGTGTATCAGAATTGCATTTACACTCGTAACACGTACGGGAAATATGACGTCATTTTTAGAATCTTTAAGATTTAATGTGCACTAAGTGTGAAAGTTTAAAAAATTCAATTAATGCGAATAAATTTATTGGATATTAACTATTTTCAGACAGTTCACACCTTCAAAAGATGTTCTAAAAATATTCTGATGTCGTCCCTCCGTCCTAAAAGCATCTTCAGAACGTATTTTGGAAAATTTGTGTTGTTTAGGGTGCACTAGTGTGCAATGGGCATTAGGTGTAAAAGTGTGAATAGTACAAGCAGTTCGACAAACCTAATTTTTCGCGAAAATCTGCATAATACTGTAAGAGTTTTCAATAATTATTTAAATAATTTAGATACATACTTTATCATGTTTTTATGAAAAATTAAAATAAATTTCAGTAACATTCAATTATTTTCATTGTATACTGAAAACTGTTATATGTTACTTTTCAATAATATTCATTATTTTTTATTATATTTCACAATATTATATTAAATTTTATACTAAAAGCTATGATTAATTTTGATTTATATTCAATACTTATTTAATAGTTGTCATTTTCTGTTTCATCGGTTTTAATGTAACTTTCAACAAATTATTTCCATCAGAGATCCCACATAATTTGAATTTTTTCAAAGCCCATATCTCTAAAATTATTACATCTTCCAAGAAACCGTCTTACAAGGTTTTGTATTTTATGGTAAAAACTAAAATAGTTCAATAGGAATTAATTTGGCGGGGCCCTAAAAATGGCCTATTAAAATGGCCCCAAAAATGGCCCCTAAAATGAAACTATTCTTTTATTATTACAAGAAGGAACTACTGGCATCAAAGTGACCCAGTACCGATTTAAACATTACTGGTATCAGACTTGGTAAACATTACTTGGTAAACATTACTGATATCAGATGCCAATACGTGTTTAGTATTAGTGTGATTTGTGTGGGATGATAGAAAAGGGCCAGTATCGGAAAACAGTACTGTTACAGTACCGAAAATCAATATTGTACTAGTATAAAAAAAATATTGATTCCTAACACTGGGGAAGTACCTATTCCCAGTACTGGAACAATATTGATTCTTAGTAATTTTTATTATTTGTACAATTGTTAATATCACAACTATATAGTATGGAAAGAAAGATCAGACCATGACCGGGCTGTACAGGTCTATTTTTAATAATCATATGAGCAAAAATCGACGGCTGGAATCGAACTCGAATTTTTCCCGCTTGTCAGGCAAGCGTTCTTACCACTGAGCTATTTAGGTTTCGCGTTAATGACCTCTTCCGTTTTCCCATAAAGGACATTGGTATCGTCCGTTTCTCGGTACCGGCACAATACTGGTCCAATATCCTCTATTGGCAGATTATATACGATTCTTACTTAGGTATCCAGTACTGATTCTACGAATAGGGCCAGTACCAATAACAGCTTTTTAAATACTGGATCAGTACTAAAAATGACAAACACTTTTCGATAACGCCCTAGTATACGGTACGACTATCCAGTACCTACCCTTATAGAAATATCATACTAAGAATCATTGATAATTACTTATTATCCAGTATTTTTAATACTGAAAATAAGTAATTATCAATGATTCTTAGTATGATATTTCTATAAGCGTAACCTTAGTACGGAACCAATACCAATAAAACAGTTTTTTAATATTAGGCTCAGTACTGAGCGAGTACCAAAAACGGACATCCGTTTTTCGGTATCGATCCTGTATCGGGCCATTTTTCCGTACTGGAAAAACATATACGATTCTTATTTAGGTAAATTCAATTTAGCATTTCGTCTTTCGGCTACAACGTTGTATTGATATTCAGGGAGACATTTCTGAGCATTTAATAAATTTTTAATGTTGGGTTTATTTTTAACCTATTTTTTACATATAATATTAATAGTACGACAGATATTCCTTCGTGAAAAATAAAAGGAACTCACGGTAACAAAGCCGCGACAAAAGGAATAGAAAACTACTTTCACATCGTTGTTCCTAAGTAGCGCTAAAAATAGAATAAAAGTAGAATAACAAATGTATTTAAAAAATTTAAAGTAACTTCGACGCGAACCTAAAGACAACATATCAAAGACAACCAAAGTTATTATTTCTTTTTGTCTCAAACTTAATTACGTTAAGATAGTAGGTTAATTTAATTCTTATCTGTTAATTTTTGACTCTCATAACTAAAAACATACTTAATAAAAAAATACTTTATTATAATTTTTTGAAAAGGTGTTGGAGTATGTTACAAGAATATGAAATAAAAAATGCGAGTATCTACTTAAACATTTTTAGATAATATTGATCTGATATTGGAAAGATCATTCAAGATTAATCTATATTTTCATCATAAGTACTCTTTCAAACTATACAATTTCTCAACTTTTATCCGAAAAATTTTGTCTATGAAGTGTTACAAAAGAGATAATAAAATGCATTATTTAAAATGGACAGTATGTATTGCCCAAGTTGCGACAAATTTTTGTAAATTAGTAAATTAAATTATTTGAAACATTTGTCACGATATTACAAAACTACATTAACATGTCGTTACACTTACTTTCATTTTTCTTATCGACTTTTTTCCTTAGACGTCTCTGGTAGTAAACAATTTGAAAATGTATAGAATATGTAAAATAATTATGTTTTCTTTCAATTATTTATACACGTTTGTACACTGTTTTTATCTAATGTAATCACTAAATGTTCTTGGTAAATAACTGCTGATATAGCAAATTGATATAAGACAAAATATAAATAAGTAAATATACCATAAATAAGTCATTGAATTTTAGTTTGATAATAATTAATAACTTAGTAGCAAAATATATAAGAAAAATTAATATTTCTAATACGCACATACCAATAATGATATTGCTGCTAAAACTATCAGAGCGGCAGCGTACCAATGTTCAGCTATCCACCGCCTGAAAGTAGCAAGACTCTCATCGGATAATAAAAGTTTTCTCAAAGTTGCTAATGGTCCACTTGGATCAACCTAAATAAAAAATATTTTAATTACCATCATTTCCGTCATCCTATCCAGATAGCACGGAAATGAATAGAAATAAAGAATCCATTTCAAAGAACACTTAAAGAATTAGAAAAATTAATATCTAGATATTTTTTGACGGATTAACTATAATTAGATTGTTTTGAGGTAAAAATTAATTGAATGAAATATTTTGCGACTAATTATTTTGAATACTCTAAAAATTTATGAGGAAATAATTGTAGAATTACAAATGTTTTATTGGATACAATTACTTCCTGTGACTACGTTCAGTAAATGTTTTTGATGTTTTAGGTTTGCTTTTAGCAAACACCAAGTAACAATTACATAACTGTTAGTTATAATGTTCCACTTAATTGTTAATTTGTAATCTTAGAATATAAACACGCGATTTATTTAATTCTATATAATTCAACTTCAATTTTGGATTCTTTTTTTCTTTTAAAACCGATTGCATTTTAATCATTTTTATGATTTTACCTGGAAAATAAAAGTTACTCGGTAAACAGCAAATAACATTACGTCAATATTGTAATTCTCCATTCAACAATATAATTATTACGTACACGTATAATATTGTTATTATATATGCATATAAAAGTATACATTATATAAGCATAAATCCTATTATATATAATACAAATACCAAGAATATACAGGGTGAATCATTTTAATCGAATCAGGAAAATATTTCGAAAAATATGGAAAATACGGAAAAATATTTCAAACAAAAGTTCTATCGTTCGGACATAAGATGGTGTAATTGGCTTGACCCCGAATAGTCGTTTGAAAGTCACGTAAAGGTCACCTTCAATTTCTTAAATGGAAACCTTCATTTTTTATTGCATATTCTTACTTCGAGAGCTTTTCAAAACACTATAATAAAGTATTTTTTCATTAAGTACTTTTCGAGTTATAAGGTTTGAAAGTTACAGTACCACCGGCATTAGCATTATCCAAGGTGTACCACACGGAGGTTGCCTGGTCGGATTTACACCTCTGTGTGTGTTATAGATTGTACCTGTTATTTTCATTTCTACATAAAATTGAATTTTGTCAAATGGTTGGGGTGCACACGCACATGCCTTCTCCCTGTGTGCACATTCTCTCCACTCGACTCTCGCGCGATACTTGTCCTCAAATGTTTCATTAACAAGCAAGCAAAACGCTATATCAGTTACCTCGCCACTGTAGACGTGACACTTTAGGTGCACAAAAATTAAAAAGAGTATTAAAATTAACACTTTGTTTCCTTAATAATAAACATGACTGATTATTCACCTAGTGAAATTGTCGACATGATAATTGAATATGGAAGAGCCAATGAAAACTATAGACAATGTGCCCGTCAGTATGCTTTATCCAGATCGTCGATGTCCCAATCATACTATGTAATATAATAATGAAAGTTATTAATAGAGCTCATGAGGGTACATTATATCGCAAACGTAGAAAAAAATCTTTAACTGATGCTAATGATTTGAATATAGCTATTTTATGGATGGTAGTAATAAATCCTTAGATTGGTTAACATACAATCAGTTGAGAACTCAATGTTTTTCAGTCAACTATCCGGCGAATTTTAGCGAATTTTCACGCTTATCACATTCAACGAGTTCAGTCACTTACTGAAAATCAAAAACAAAAACGCATTGAATTTTGTCATTGGGGATTGGAAAAATTAGAAGAAGATCCGATAATTTTTTTGATAATGTTTTATTTATCAACAAATCAACATTTCAGAATACTGGAGAATTGAATCGTCATAATTGCCACTTTTATTCAGATATTAATCCTTTTTGGATTCGTCATGTAGATCGTCAGCATCAGTGGAAAGTAAATGTTTGGTGTGGCATTTTGGATCGCCAGGTTATTGGATCCTTTAATAATAATATTAACCGAATAATACTTACAGTTCTTGCAAAATAATCTAATCGAATTGTTAGAGGATATCAATTTAGGAACTAAGGATCGCATGTGGTTTCAACACGATGGTGCTCCTCCGCATAGAGCTGCCATTGTGCGAGACTATTTACATCAAAGATATCCTGAACGCTGCATATGGTACAACGGTTATATCACATGGCCTCCAAATTCTCTTGATTTGATACCTTGTGATTTCTTTTTATGGGGATACGTTAAAGGGATTATTTTTGCTACAGAACCGATAACTCCGGTCGATATGAGAAATCGCATTACTAGAACTTTGGCAACTATTGCCGAAGAATTTCTTCAACGAACTACTATTGCATTGAGTCACAGATTCGGAATGTGTATTGAAGTGAATGGTGATACATTCAAAAAATGTTATAAGACGTAAATCGTGGCGTGTACGAGCACGAGCAAGCGCGCACACGCGCACACACACACACACACACACACACACAGTAGCTGAGAGGGTTTGGAGTCATTAAATACGGAAGTGACGAACCATGAAGTCCTTATCTCTACTGTGACACACTCATACACACACAAAAGAGGTGTAAATCCGACCGGGTAACCTCCGCGTGATATATCTTGAATAATGCTAATGCCGGCGGTACTGTAATTTTCATGCCTTATGAGTCGAAAACTACTTAATGAAAAAATACTTTATTACAGTGTTTTGGAAAGCTCTCGAGTTAAGCTACAAGAATATGCAAATGGAGGCTTTCATTTAAGAAATTGGAGGTGACCTTCACGTGACTTTCAAACGACTATCCAGGGTCAAGCCAATTGCACTGTCTTATGTCCCGCTCCGAACCATAGAACTTTTGTTTGAAATATTTTGCCGTATCTTTCATATTTTTCGAGATATTTGCCTGGTTCGATTAAAATGACTCACCCTGTATAATGTCAGAGTCATTGTCATTGGAATTGCCTGCCGCGCGATTTTTTATTAAGCAACGCCGACCGTGACTAGTAAGCGAATGCAGGGATGCCGATTCTGTTACATTTGCAGCACGCTAACAGTGCGTAGAAGGGATGGCTGCCATGCGTACATGCCCTGTCCGTTTGTTTCACTTCAGTCATACTTTAGCCGAAGGGAGAGACGCACACGGACAGGGCACGTATGCACGTATGCATCCCCTCTACGCGCTGTCAGCGTGCTGCAAATGTAACAGAATCGGCATCCCTGAGCAGATGATGACCGGCCGACCATCGCTGAGGATCGAAAACGCAGAGGAACAGGAAATATTTGCAAACTTTAGTCACTTGTATTTTCTTAATCAAATATTAGTGTTTTTAAACTATTTTAACATTTACATATGAGAACATATTTACATGGAAAATTATAATATTGGTGTAATGTTGTCATTAGATAATAGTTGTTGAGTATTTTGTAGTCTTCTTTTTATTTTTAAGTATCAGTCTATATAAATATTTCAAGGAGTTCTCAGGAATTCCAGTCGTGGTATGTATAATTTTCTGAATTATTCTTCTACGAATTCTTAAAGTATCGCAATTCAAGAAAAAAAACTATAAGTATATTTATTATGCTACTTGGGTATCAATTATTCCGTAAATTGGTTTTGCTTACCTCGCGACATTTTTGAAAGACATCACAGTAACCATTATAATCGTTACAGGGAGTTCCCGGTTTTGAAAACATATCGGGGATATCATACGGCGGGGAGTTCCAATCGAAAGACGATCTACAAGAAGACATCCGATAGAAGAAACAGTTGATCTTACGATTCGTTGAATAATTATCATTTTAATTAGTAATTTAAAAGAAATCCTCGTATAAATTATTGTATACAATATAAATAGATGCACAAATGATTAATCCAAAATTTTCGGCTAAAAAATCCTGGTTTAATAGAAAAAAAAATAAAACAAATTTTTCAATTAAATTTATCGATGCTGGTTATAATGGTTACTTTTCATAACTTTAAGTAATTTCTCGGGCCGCTTTTAAATTTCTCTCTGCTCTGAAAAATGCAGTATTTTTAGACACGATGAAATAGGCAATCCATTTTTAAGTCTTATTCAATGATTGGATATGCGTAGCAGACAAGGAATATTGCATCAATCGGAATAAATGGCAATTGAAATGAGCTACGTTTGGTGAATACGCCGTGTGCTACAAGATATTTTAGCCAAGATTTACTATTGTGTCTGTTGTCTTAGAAGTAATATATAAACTGGTGTTGTTATGCGATAATTTCATGGAATGTTTTATTTTGTTAACGGGCGTTTTCTATCCAATTTTAGACTGAAGCGGATTAATTGACGTTAGTAGTCCGCAATAATTGTTTCACTCAATTACAATAACTCATAATAAATTTTATAATATCATAAAATATCATAAGCCTGATATCTCACTAACAAGGGACCTGACAGAACTGTCCCTCACTGATTTTGACGCGCTTCGGATATATTGTAGAGCATCAAAAAATAAAAGACTCAAATTTTTTATATCGGCTTATCTCGAAGTTTAGGGGTTAAAAAAGCCCCTTAAAGAAAATTAACTTTTTTATTTTTATGGAATAATTTCTAAAATATGAGGAATATGAAAAAATATTTCCTAAAAGTTTTACAGTATTTAATTTTCTTTGCAACGGTGTATTTTATTTTTTTAATGTCAACCCTGACGAAAAAAAATCTACAAATAACTACATGATTTTATTACTAATTCATACATTTCTATAGTGAAATAGGAAATATTACAAAATACTAGGAAATACTATGAAAACTTGTCAAACTTGTAAAAAAGTTGTCATTAGAAATAGTTCGTCATTATAAATAGAATTATCCAAACAACTTATTATATATTATCAGAAATTTTGAAAACTTAAAAGTTGTCATTAGAAATAGTTTGTCATAATAATTAGAATTATCCAAAAATAGAATGACAAATTACAATGATTTTGTCATAGCCAAAATCTGTTAAAAAATTACAATTGTTTACGATATATTACAACGAACATTATACGTATAATTTAATACATAATTATACGTATAATACATAATTCGTTGTAATACATCGTAAACAGTTGTAATTTTTTAACAAATTGGCTATTATAAAATCATTTGGCTATTACAAAATCATTGTAGAAAGCTGTAATTTGCTCTTTCATTTTTGGATAATAATAATTATGACAAATTAATTCTATATGACAACTTTTAAGTTTTCAAAATTTCTAATAATGTATAATAAGTTGTATATTTTTAAAAGAAATTACGCCCCAGACAGCACACAATATTTATGATAAAGATTTATAACTATTTATTTTGAACAATTTTTTTACAATATTATATAAATATTTTATGTATATAAAGGAAAAATATATCAAAATCTTTATTCAAAATATTATTAAAATATAGATTAAATATCTTATACAATATCTATCACAAACAAAAAATAAATATTTTTAGTAATATTTTGTAAATATTTCTATAAATATTATACATGAAAAAATAAATGCAATTATTTATAATTATTAAATTAATGAATAAATAAGAAAATCGAAATTTAAATTTTGATAATGTATACTGAGAAATAAAATTATTTAAATTAGAAAATATAATAAATACAAATATATTTTGTTAAATATAATATCTTAACTTAAAAAAATATTTGCTAAATTTTAGAAAACATGTAATAAATACAAAGTAATATTTTTTTAAATTTATAAAATGAGCTATAAATTAATGAATTTTTAGATAAAAAATAATTTCTTTGATTTAAAATCTATGTATAAGAATAAAATCTATATATAAGGATAAACAAAAGATTTACTTACAAGAAAATTAGTTTTTTTTTAATATAAAAACTGTTTCAGCAAATATTTGTTTGTTTTAAAAGTAAATGAAATACAAGTGGTTCATTTTGTAAATTTAAATAAATTATTTTCTAATATTAAAAGTATCTTTTTGGTGTTTCAAATTAAAGTTTCTTTTACTATCAGAAAGCAATTTATTTAAATTTACTAAATGATTTATTTGTATTTTATTTACTTTTAAAACAAGTAAATATTTTTTAAATATACTTTTTAAATACTTTTTAAACATATTTATTACATTTAAAAAGATCTATTCTTTTCTTTTAAATAAATAATTTATTTTTGTATATGGATATACCATATATATACAATACGAAGCGTTTTTTAATCAAAGTGGCAGTAGTGCAGTAGGTAAAGTGAACAACTTAAGAACCAGAAGTCTCAGCAATGGTAAGCAACTTTTTGAAGTACAATTTAAATTGAATAAAGTAGTAAGTGTGAAATAATAAAGTGGAAAATTGAAAGAAATTTCAGGAAAAAAGAAAAGTATGTATAAATGTATATATTTTATTAAATATTTTTATAATATTTATTATAAATATTTATGATCTGTTGAATCTAAGATCATACAAATATTTATGAAATATTTTGATAAATATTTATAAAATATTAAAATATATCTTATAAATATTTTGTAAATGTTTTATAAATATTTTGTGCTGTCTGGAGCTTTCTACGTGTAATAAAGCATAATTTCTACGTCATAGTATTCTCATCTACAATAAATGAAGAAAGTGTCCGAAACCGCGCATTTTCTCGTGAATAGTTGTAATTTTAGCATTAAAACTTTTTCTTTTCATGTAGTATCTCTAATTTAGTTGTAGTTTCCGCGTATTTTTTGTTGTAATTAATTGTAATTTAGCGGAGTTGTTACATAAAAAGTTGTAAAATTTTTTTCCGCTAGGAAAATTTTTTACTCTCCTTCTCCACTCGTTACCTTCGCAAAATTTTTAAGTTTTTGTAAAGACCAAAATTGTAGAGCATTTAATACCAAATACACCCATATATAATAGTAGAAGTTGGTCTCGTTTTAATCGTTGGAAAATGACGTGAAAATATCGTGCCATAGACGCCAAATAGATGGATACTATAGATCAAAGGACGCGGCAGCGTCTTGCGCCAAGTGAACGCGCGAAGCGAGGAACGGACTTGAGACGGCCCGTTATATACGACGCCTTTAGTTGATCGGAGGCAAGATTTCTCATTCTGCTATAACGGCTGATCCAATCAAATTCTAAGTGGGTTTAATCGATTTCTCAGTGTCGAATTGTATGAGAAAATTTTCTTTAGTTTTGCTCTACATGGTTGATAAGAGGAGATTTTCCGGTGCAAAGTACGAAATTATCAAGTTTTACGATTTACGATTTTGTCGTCGTCGTCGTCAACCAGTTTTCGTATCCTTTAACTTTGTCGTCCATTAGATGGTGCCACGGGGCAGTTCAATCAACGAGATACGGACCGTGTAGCTAGACTGTGTGCATTTGTATGGCACTACGAAGTGGTTTATCAGTCAGTCATTGAAACATGTGCCGCGTGGTCGGATTGATGTGTGTGTGTATGTGTGCGTGTACGTGTTGTGTGTGTGATGTTTTTTATATATAACTGCACTGTTGAACTGGTACACATTGATGCAATAAACAATAAATTAGAGTGAGACAAAATATATTTGCCTCACTCTATTCATAGGTTAATCTCCACCTGTCCTTACAAAAAAAATACTATTAGTATCTATTAGCACTAATAGTGTCACTAATAGTTTCACTAGCAGTGCTAGTAGTGTCACTATTAGTGCTAATAGTGACACTATTAGTGCTAATAGTAACACTATTAGTGCTAATAGTGACACTGTTAGTTACACTATTAGTGCTGATAGTGACATTATTAATGTTAATAACGGCACTGTTAGTGACTCTACTCTCTTAAAGTGGATCAGTGAATAGTCACTGATATTAGTTATGAGTATAGCACTGAATACTTTCAGCCCTTATAGAAATATCATACTAAGAATCATTGATAATTACTTATTTTCAGTATTAAAAATACTGGATAATAAGTAATTATCAATGATTCTTAGTATGATATTTTTATAAGGGAGTGCTATACTTATAACTGCAATTAGTGTATATTCACTGTTTTCAGTGATGTTTACTGATTCATTTTAAGAGAGTAGTAGTGACATTAATAGTACTAATTGTAACACTATTAGTGCCGATAGTGACACTACTAGTATTAGCAGTGATACTATTAAAGACACCAATAATGTCAGAAGTGACATTACAAATGCCAATACGAGTATAGTGGTACGGCCAATACGAGTATTATAAGTGACACTTGATGAGATAATATGTATAAGTACGTAAACTTTATTATTACTATAGAAAAACTATGAAAGATAATTTATTATTATAGGGGGGGGGGG